TAAGCACCCCAAGCGGTATGCTTTGGGAGTGGCTAGTAATGCCCCAATGACTGAAGAACGGCCCTGCGACATTCAACAGATTGCGTGAGACTGATATCCCTCTCACGACGGTAAGCACTCCAAGCGGTATGCTTTGGAAGTGGCTAGTTAAGCCGCAAGGACTGAAGAACGCCCCTGCGACCTCAATAGATCTCTATTGCGTTCGGTGCGCGACTTCGCACCGAGCTACTTCGACGATGTCGACGTTCACAGCCGGGCTGTGAATGACAAGACGGATATCGAGATGCACAAGGAGCATCTCCGACAACGGCTTGGGCTCATGCGCAAGCACAAGCTCTATGTGAACCTGAAGAAGTGCATCTTCGGTGCGAGCGAGATACCCGTACTAGGGTGTCTCGTTGGAAAGAACGGCGTACGCCCTGACCCCGAGAAGGTCAGAGTGATCAACGAATTGCCTACGCCATCCAACGTGAAGGAACTGCGGCAGTTTCTTGGCCTTGCCACGTACTTGTGCAAGTACGTGGACAACTACGCAGGCAAGATTCGCCCGCTGTCGCAGCGTCTGAAGAAGGAAGCTGCGTGGAATTGGACTGGTGAGTGTCAGTAGGCGTTCAATGCAGGCAAGCTGGGCTTGACTGAAGCGCCGATCTTGGCGGTGGCTGACCAAGATCGTCCCTTTCACGTAGTGTGTGACGAATCCGATTTTGCGATCGGATGTGCGTCTACTACCAGTCGCGTCAGCTGAAGACAGCTGAGCGAAACTACTCTGTACATGACAAGGAACTCCTTGCCATGAAGTATGCACTCGCGAAGTTCCGAGTGTATTTACTCGGCAACACGCCGTTCGTGGTCTATACGGACCACGCGTCGTTGCGGACGGCTGTGAAGTCTCCGCACATCTCGCAACGAATGGCGAGATGGTTGTCCTTCTTCGCGGAGCACATCTTCCGGGGCGAATACAAACCCGGAAGGTTGAATGTCGTCGCGGACGCATTGCCGCGACG